AAATCTTTAGCTACTAAGGGGGAAATTAAGCAAAACTACAGAACACCTGGAAGACCTAATGAAACAAACAGGGAAGAGGTGATTGTGCACATAAAGTCTTCATTCCACGGACTAAGCCCAACTATGACGAAAACTCCCATGACCCTAAGGATTATTTGAATATGTATATTTTATTATTGGTATTTTAGAAATGGCAGGGCATAGTTTCACATGGTGCATAATGATGTAGCAGGTGAGTATAATTTTCTAATTTTGGCTTCTTTGCATTTCCCTTTTTTTTTCATTTAAGGCACAGTACTTTTAAAACAGATATTACTGAAAAGGGAAAGCAGAGAGACAGGGAACCGGCCATCGAGGCCGAAAGACCCCGTGCCTCCTCCCTCCACTGCATTTTCTACCACATTACAGAATTTAGAAGATGCCTTTTCTTGGCTTTTATCTTTTATTTTTTTATACTACCAATGACAAAATAATATGCCAAGAAAGCAAAAGCATATAAAACTTACTAATTTATGAGTAAAGAAAACTCTAGTTCTATGAATTTTCTGACCCAGGCAACACAGGAATGCTGGAAGGACTGAAAGCCTTCGAACTCGAACGGTTCTTAGAGCAGACAGCTGAGCGCTGTGCCTTGCTGAAGTTGTGTTTCTCGACAAAGTGTATTTCCCTGAACATCTGTGAAGATGAAAAGTTCATGTATGTAGAACTGAGGCAAAAGGCAGCCAAGAAACTTGAATGAAATTATACCGTTTAAGGGCCAAGCACAGTAGCTCACCACTGACTGATAATGTATACTCAGGAGACTGAGGCAGAAGGATTGCCCTAAATTTCAGGACCCCTGGAGCTACATAACGAGTTCTAAGACAGCCTGGGCTATCCTGTGCAGCCAGTCTCAAAAAAAAAAAAAAGGATCGAAACAGTGGTGAAGTATAAACCAGAGTGAAGTGAGGCTGCCCAATTGTGGGTCTGCGGCATTGAGGAAAAGCCCGAGTTCCCTGCTGGTCAACAGGACTCTGTCTGTAATTATACTCTTCAGTCATCAGAAGACGGCCTGCCAGAGGCTTCCCCACTACTGCCACTCTTCTTGATCCATGGCACTGTCCCAGGAGGATCAGATTTCTCCATGGCAGGAAATACACAGGCCACTGCTCATTGTATGTGATCAAATTAAATATTCCAACTGCCTGTGACAAGGCTACTTCCCCAAATCTGCACTTAATGACACACTTTCCAGGTAGAAATCAGCTACTTTTGATTTGTCTGTGACCTGGAATTAGCTGAAATCTGAGATTAGCACACTCAGTTGACAATATTGACATGTATGGCATGTGTGTAAAAATCTTAAAAGTAACATATTTCATAGCACATGTGGTATAAGAGAGATAAAAATCATGAGCTGTTCTTAGATTCTACACTAGAATCTGCAAGGAGGATGTACTGAGCAAACACAATGAGCGACTGAAGAGATCCAGACACTGTGTTTCTCTGGCACACAGCACTGCAGCAAGAGCAGCAGCAGCCCTGCCCTTGCCGCTGATTCTTCCGACTCAGAACGTCCCCTCTGAGCCAGAATACACTGGCTGTTGCTGATCATGCTGTGAGACACCTGCACCGGCTACTGGGCTTGTCATGACGCACAGAGCCTACCATCTTCAGCTTGACACTGTGCACGTTATAATTATTCATCCAAATGAACATGTCAGAGCAGCAGCAGCAGACCTCTCATCAGGGCAAAAGAAAAATACATCAAAACATTATCAACTCAGCAGGAAGACGGGGACCATAAGGAAAATTACCCATTTTTAATATGGATGCCACAAAGCCATGCCTGTTATGTTACAAAAAGAAAGGAAAATAAAGATCTTCCCAGTTCAAAGTCCAGGAACACTGAAGCCAGAGAAGAAATGTACAGAAGTAGACAAAGACTTTGTAAGATCAGTTATGTGGTCTTTATATACAATGTTTTAAATACAACTTTATTACTAGACTACAACTGTAACATTCGTTTGCTTAAGAATCAAATTGTTTAAAAATAAAGAAGAAAAGAAAAAAACCTAAACCTGTAAGAGCAGGACTGCCCCAGCCAGTCTGTGAAAAAGGACCACACACAATGTCACCTCACCTCTCACGTTACTTTCCAGAAACAAGTTAGCATTGCCAACATTCTAATGTTTAAGAGAATCAGAGTTTATATTCTATCACAAAAAATAGGTCGATATTTATATGCAAACAAAAATTCTTGAAACTTTTTAAATTTTAATTTATATGTATTATGTTAAAAAAACTGAAATTACCTCAGACTGATACAAATGAAGACATCTCCAAACTGCATGTATAATGTAGACAAGAGTAAGTTTAGACTGTTCTATAATACTTGAATAACAAATTGTAACTGTTAGAACAAACTATGTAGTTTATATCTTTTCAGACAAAAAGGTATAGATTTTCCTTGACATACAAAAAAATCAAAACTGTTAAGACTAATAAACACGACCACTCTGAAAATTTGATATATAAACATAAAACATATAATACACCGAGTTAAAACAGATGCCATGAAAAGATGTTCCTATTCTATGTAACCAGGAAAGCACTGGTATCAAAACAGTATGAGAGATGCATGCATATCTTCTAAAAAGACTTCTAACAGGCTAAGACTATGAGCACAGCAATGATTATCAATTCTTGGTAAGAAATAAAAGGCAGACTGTGATCAAAATAAAATATGGTAATGTAAGAATTACTATGTGTGCCTTGATGTAAGTACAGACTTATACAACCAATTTGGGAAGGCAAGCTGGCAGTGTTTAGTAACCTCAAAGAGGCATATTCTATGTAACAGTTATAGGAATAATCCATACAGAAATCCTCATACATATGCACTGGGAAGTACACAGAAGTGTTGTATTGCAGGCTGATAATAAGAAACTAGATATATTTACCAATAGGGCAGTGAATAAATTAACCGATTGATGGAGATAAAAACATATAGCATAAATGAGTAAACTGACACACAGAGATGAGTATAGAGAAGTCAACTAAATGGTACTGATTTAAATACGTTACACTTCACATATAGCATAAGATAGCAAGGATAGCGTACTTAGACTTGAAGGGAAAGAGAGTCCTGTTTAGAAAACTAAAGAGCCCAAAAGAAATGAGGCCCAGAGGAGGGAGCAGGCCCAGTGTGGTTCCAAGAACATTTTATTTCTAACAGAAAGGAGCGTGCTAGATACACATCTAAGGCAAAGGTGACAAGGTAACATCTGTCCAGGGGGAGCTGAGGGTTAAAAGGAGTCCTCATTTTTCTAGAACTGTAAGAAGTTTAATATATTCTACAAATTTTAAAAATATTACATTCCATTTACTACTAATTAATCCTGTTTGCTTGGAGCTATTACAAAAAGAAATTTCCAATAGTCAAGCCTACAGCTCTAATGGAATAATATTACATTAACTGCACACTCACAAGCCCAAGGCTCCAAGCTTGTGTAAAGCGAGAACACCAAATTTAAGATAAACTGTTCCCAAGCAGTTTCCAGTCTAGCAGTCCAAACTAACTTTGGTGTCACACATACTCTTCATGACCTTTCAGGGAAACTTACACAGTACCCACAATAAAAAGAAAACTAAGAAACTCATCACAAGATAAATATTAAAGTATGAATTCTACATAGCATCTTGGAAAGAGTCATACAATTCAGATGCAGTGTTTTCTCATGACCTTAAAGAAGTTTAACTAAAAGATGAGGCTTCCAGGGTCAAATGAAAAAGATGTTTCTAGAGAAAAATTAATGCAATTTGTAGGCAAATGAAGTGTTGAAAAGAAAATATTATTTTTATAAATGTATAAGCTACATCTAGTACCAAAAGAAAATTACAGACATTTTCCTTTTATTTTCTGTTTTATCAGTTTCCAATAGAGGAAATGGGATTTGCTGTTGTTGATTATAAAGAAGAAAATTAGAAAAATAAATATGACTTAAAATATCTGATTAATTATTCAAACGCTCATATAAACCTAAGTCCTCTAAGCATTATAAAATTAACTTATGGGCAGGAGAGATGGCTCAGTGGGCAAAGCTTGCCACGCAGGGCTGATAATCTGAGTTCAATTCCTAGAACTCACTGAAAGATGGAAAGAACAACCCCACAGAGTTGTACTCTGATCTCCATATGTACACTAGATAGAGCACACAAATGCACACACACATCAACACATACAATAATAATACATGCATTTTAAAAACCAAAGTATAACTATCCATGTACATTTTTAAACAGTTCAGAATAAAAACATGGAAGAATTCCACTTAGAGAACACTTGTAAAGTGTCACTGTGACTTTGCTTTCACTTTCCAATCAATAAGTAGAGATGTTTTGTCCTAGGTACTATCAACTACCAAAATTGACCTGGTGCAAAGGAGGACAGTGAACAATCTCATCATGACACTGTCCTCCTTCAATTTTTAAAGGTATTTTACTACTAATATCACCTTCTAAGTATATATATAAAACATCAGTTTATAACATGGTTATAAAGATATTGATCTCTACTGATGGACTGGGAAACTGAATTAGCCTAGGTAGAGTAAGCACAGATACAAGGCATAGTACAGTTTATATTCCATTCTTCACTTATGAAGGTTATATATGTCATCAATATTAACAATTTAACAGTATACAAAATTCCACAAACTTCCTGCTTATATTCACTGCTTTCTAAAGAGTATTTTTAAGATTTAAATTTAACAAAACACTGTATATCAGTAGAGCTTCTACATGTTTGCCTAAAGTAATGAAATGTAGACAAGTGTGTGTACATGCTCATGTATATAGAGAGAAAATAGACATTCATTTTTTGGAAAATATGAATTATTGCAGGAGGGTTAACATAAATGCTTAAAAAACAAATAATTTAATAATTTTCAACTTTAAAATGATCATTCAACTAAAAAGAATATAATATTTAATTATTTAAAATAAACTTTATTATTTACCTGTGGTGTCCAGGAAACAGAAAACGGAACAGGAAAGTCCACAACACAATCGGGTGGCTCTACAGGGTACTGTGACAAAGCATGAAAATAGGTCATTCCTGTGTCTGTGTGACAACCTGACATGAGGCATTTCAGAAAAACTAGATACATTAGGAATGGCGTCATAACTACAAATATATATACTGATGTAATACTTGTGTAACATATATTAAATATGCACATGCGCATCCTGTGATTGAACTATTATAGTGATATCAGGGTGATTAATGCCCCCCCCCATGCTTAGGAGGCACATGAGGTGGGGGTTCCAGAAAGTGCTGAGTAACCAGCAGCGATCTGAGTCAGGATCACTGCTGCTGGTGTGGGATGACCAAAGCTGACGGTTAAACAGAGATTAAAACAATTGTGATTTAATTCTTCCTGGTTATAAATTTAATCTCAATTAGCTTCAGTCACCAACTGACTAGACAGTGTCATTAAATAATCAAGAAGCACACAACAGTGACTATATGTAATTATTAATTGAAATATGACTTCCCATAATAGGCAACTATTCATATTAAGAAGAGGAAAAAAAAAAAGACAACAGAAATGATGAAACATCTTCTATTTTATTAGGGGAAAATAAAACTTACAGTTTTAAGCATGAAAAAATTTTTAGATTGGTAAAACTACTAGAGAATTAATTACTTGGTTATATAAAAAGAAAGGATAGTCATAAGAACAAATCAGATTTCTAAGTTATCAAAGATAAAAAATAGCTGTTTTTAAAATTAAATTTCTTATTAGAGAATTCTATTTCAAAATCAATTAAAATATAATTCTGAAATCTTCAAAGTCATTTATAATTAAAAGTACTCATTACTTGCCATTAAAAAGCTAAATTCCTTAGAAGAGAATGAGTTTAAAAAGCTTTCTATGGCAAACTATTTTAAGTTCCAGGCTTTACTTTCTAGTCTCTGATTTTTCATTACTTTACTGGGGAAGTCACAGGGACAGAAGGAGGAGGAGAAGGTGTAGCTATAACTTTTTTTTTAATAACTATATTTGAATTCAGTGTTTCCCAAAGAATTACCATTTTGCTCTCAAGGTAAGTTTGACTAGAATGAAGTGAGTATTTATACATACTAATTAACTTTATCTGGTTATATAAAGCTAGTAACAAAATTAACACAAATACATAGAAAAATGTTATAATGCTTAAATATGAAACAAGATAAAGAAAACAAAAGATCAGGCTAAGGAAAATGGAGTATATTCAGGCAACTCAAAATATTTCAGGTTATACTTTAGAGCAGGGGCTGTAACCATGGAGGCAAAAACATGTACACCTTTACTTTTTTTAAGTCATGTGAGTCTCCACACCCTTCACAATTGCCCCCATCCCTCCACTCTCTGGTTCCAGCTGTGTTACTTACCTCTTACAATCCTAGAGGGGACATTTAACTTCTCAGGCTTACACATGTGAAAATGACAGAACTTAAAGTGTTATAAAGATCTATTCCCTCTAAATTATCAGGATTCGTTAAAAATATGCAGGGTGGCCAGATGGCTCAGTAGGAAAAGGGGCTTGCCACCAAGGCTGACACTGTAAGTTCAATCCAGAGAACCCACATGGTGGAAGAAGAGAGCTGACTGCCAAAGGCTGTCCTTCAGCATGTGTACCATGGCGTACATACACTATAAAGTGATGATAGATGATAGATAGATATAGATATAGATATTAAAAAGTTTAAAAGATAAAATAAGTACCCTCAAAACCTCCCTGGATCAGAAATAGAAAATTTGATTCACTTTGGGTTGTTATTCATCACATTGGGATCTACCAATGGCCAGTGTCAGTTCTAACTTAAAAAGTCATCAGTGTGGATAGTATAAGAATATAAGGGAAAGCGTGGTATTCTGTATGAAGCCTCCGTGACCCTGAATGTCCTCAAGAACACACATGGCTCATTACATTAAGAAGAGTAAAACCCTATATTTAACTAAGATTCAGTACAGTAAATACTACAAGTAAAATGACATGGAGATCCATATCCAAAGGAGTTAAACAAATGAAGCCAACTGAAATGTTGATAACCCTGTGTATACAAGCAAGTCCTCTGTATCATTTGTGAGATGATGACACTTGTAGTATATATTTATAATTGTGTAAACACACCAGGCTCTAACGAATTACACTGATCTGTATGTAGTGGTTTTATCGCATGTTTGGTTTAAGTTCAATAAATACAAGGATGTAATATACATATTACTATTACGTACATGAAACACCAATTTGATCAAATAAACTTCAGGGAAATGAAGAAAATAAAAAAGCAACTTTATGTGTTTAGGGGTTTATTATGAATTATTAAAATATAAAGTTACATCGATATTAACTTTATTTTCCTTTTTGGGCTTTTGAGATAGGGTCTCACTCTGTAGGCCAGCCTACCATTGGATCTCAACTGACTATATAGCCTGGGTTATCTTCAAACTTGGGACAATTTTTTTCCTCAACTTCTCAAGTGCTAGGATCACAGGAATGAATCATCATGTCTAAAATCATTTTCAAAATAGTTTCTGGACTACAGTAGCTAAATTACAGTGTGGAACTAAATACAATGTACCAAACCCACCCAGGCAAAGTCAGGATGGCTCTTAAGTTTTCAGGATATATATAATACCAATTTGCAGTAGTTATAAAAACTATATTGTCATTTTTGCTTGTTTTGATGGCGCTGGGCATGGAATCCATGGTCTTGGGTAAGGCAGTTAATCAACTGATCTAGAGCTCCAGCCTGAAAACTTCTATTTTGGAAATCATTGACAACAATACTCTGAATATAAGAATGGGGCTAAGTGACACACATGTGTAGCCCTGGTACCCAGAAGGCAGAAGCATAGTCACCCCAAGCTGGAGGTTAATTGGGTCTACGCAGCAGCTTCCAGGTTAACTGGGATTACACAGTGAGACTCTGACTCAAAAAATTTTTTCAAGTGTAAGTTTTAATAATTTCTCAGTATAATTCTGTAAATCTCTCTTGAAGCAAGCCAAATGATAAATTTTCAAGGAATTATATGCCATTAAGCACATATATTTGTTGCAATAGTTTTTAGATTCTACAGTCTATTACTCCACAACACATTTTAACCAAGTCCTAATCTGCTCTGACCAAGAAGGCTGCCCCCAAGTAAACACACTCAAACCACAAAGCCCAAGTTCTCAGCCTCTAACACACACTGAGTTGTTTTTACAGGATTTATTTATTTTTAACAGGAGTTGTCTAGTCCAAATCAGTTATTGTGCTCACTGTAGTTGGGGATGGTGAGGAGGGTGGTAGAATTGAAAGAGTATGTGTTCAAAAATAAAAATGAAACAAAATAAAATGTACGTCTTTAATATATGTCAAGTCAAGAAACAAAGGTTTGTGTATGTAAAAAAAAAAAAAGCACTCTTTAAGATTTGTTTTAAAAAAATCATAGTTTGGGTTAAAATACTATATTCTACAATCTTACCAAATAGCTTTAGTGATTAATGTTTCCTAACTGCTATCCCTAGGCCTAAATACTGAGTGGGGAAGAAAGAGAAGGGGAGATGGAGAGATCACATACTGAAGACTGCTGTGGGATGTTCTGTATGTCAAGTGTGTTGCTGATTGGTCAATAAATAAAACACTGATTGGCCAGTAGTCAGGCAGGAAGTATAGGCGGGACAAGGAGGAGAATAAAGCTGGGAAGTGGAAGGCTGAATCAGAGACAACTGCCAGCCGCCACCATGACAAGCAGCATGTGAAGATGCCGGTAAGCCACGAGCCACGTGTCAAGGTATAGATTTATGGAAATGGATTAATTTAAGATATAAGAACAGTTAGCAAGAAGCCTGCCACAACCATACAGTTTGTAAGCAATATAAGTCTCTGTGTTTACTTGGTTGGGTCTGAGCTGCTGTGGGACTGGCGGGTGACAGAGATTTGTCCTGACTGTGGGCCAAGCAAGAAAACTCTAGCTACAGAAAACAACCTTGACATATCTATAAATCTAAATTAAATAGACAAGTCTAATAAAGACCACCAACATAAGATTAAGACCTCATGTCTTTTTCAGATACAACCCCCCATCTCCTCCCATCTCAAATAAAGTTTTGTTTTTTTCTCTGCCAGTGTCTGTCTGTAGTAAGTATTGTAAAACTATAGCTGTAAAACAGACACAGAAAAATATTTTTAGAGAAAAAGCTCATCTACATTGTAAAGCTATATTTTAAAGCAATAGACATAATGGAACATACTAATGTCCACATCACCATCTGCAATATCACCAATGATGTTAATATTATATAGATTAAAAAAAAATCCTTTTCTACACTGAACCCCACAATACCTAAAATTAATAAATAATAAAGGAAGTCTCTGAACATAGAAGGCAGTGTGGACACAAGCACCGTCTGCTTAGCAAGCACACGAGCTTTCACCCTGAGGACAGATGTATTAAAACCATGGGCTCTGACCTTCCCAGCGCCAAAGCAAGTCTCCTCAGTGTATAGTATCTAAACAGTGACGTGAGTGAAGAGGCAAAACCACTGTTGCTGGCTAAATGTGACCTTTTGTAAGGATAAAAGATGACTTCTTCCATTTTTTTAGAAGCATACCTTTAAAAATTTAAAAATAAAATTATTTTAATGAAACAAACTTCTAACTTATTTTAAAAATTAATTAGATTCATATCCAACTAATTTGTTGATGTGTCTTAAAATTGTACCTAAATGTTCTATGTGTGCAGGAGAAGTGAGTCGCTGTTGAAGTTGTCTCTTGGAGCCACTAAGACATACCAACTTTTCTGTGCCACCCAATACAGCTTTATATGTTTGTTTATTTTCTCTTTTGAAAACCTTAAATGCCAGACTCATTTTTTAAAAGGACAAATACAATTGATCTTTTCATCACTACAATCTTCTGAAATAGAATTGATTGATGACTACTAGAAACAATAAAAATTTGAATGTCCTGGTTTCCTTGAAATTTCAATGTTTCCCCAATTGTTACTAAGGGAATGATTAATATGTTGAGCTTTCATATTTATTTCTTAAAATTCCCAATCTAGAACTGAAACTTAAAGATGAAAACATAAAACAAATGTTTTGTGACTGTTTATAGATCACTAGCATACACAAGCTTATAAAGCCATAACCTTTCTAAATTCTTAGAATATATACACCCAAAAACTTTAGCCAAAATAAATAATAAACTGTGCATGCATGTGTATGTGCTCTGTGTGTGTGCATGTGCGTGTGCGTGTGTGTGTTAAGGGGTTGGGTGAGGAAAGAGATTAGAACTACAAAAAACTCAGAAGTAGAGGCAAGAGACTTTCTCAGAAGAAGTTTATTAGGACAGGGGACACATCACTCTTTTTTAAACAGGAAATTACAACACTAATGTTATGATGCTTGGGGGGGGCTGTTGACTCTTTATTTCTTGATTGTAATGTCTGCATTTTGATGAAATTTGGAGTAAATTTGTGACAGGAAATTATATCTAGACTTTTGGAAACTGGATGAATAAATTCCTTAAGGCTTTCTAAAATCAATTTTCAAAATCACCCATGTTATTTAAAAAATAACCAGGACTTCCAAACATTGAACATCCAGAGTTCATTTCTCAAAGTATTTCCTGACCATAATAACAAGGCACGTACCTTTGCCTTCAACTTGACAGTGATCACATGCTTTCTACCAGAAGCATCGTGTGCTTTTAACTTGACGGTACTGAAGGAAGTATCCACACACACAAGTCTGGTGAGCAAAAGAGAATAAAAAATGATCACACAGAGGTGGGCTATGGGGTGCAGGGGAGGGTACCATTCCTTCTACTACATGGAGGAAATTAATCAGGAATTTCTGCATGCCAGCATCTCCTCCTGCTATAGATTTACTGCAGTTAATACAGCAGCCCAGAGCTTAATGCAGCCATAGATCTCAGGATTATTTACAGTGTGTGTCAAGGCTCATGCTGTGGTCAGTGAGCACTGTGTTTCGCTTTTCCATCACTGGAACCTTTGGCACACACAGCATGTTTCTGTCAGCATCTACTTATGTACACATTAAACTTCCTGTCAAATTCTTTGATCCATTTCTGTAGTTTCATACAGTATGAGGTTTTTATGCATCTTTTATTTGTTTTTCTCCTCAATGAACTTCTCCTTTGTTATCAGTAATGTTACTGTACAACAATCTGGCTGATATTAGTTCATACACTCAGATTAAACCTATGGAAAATGCTATATAAGCACAGGTATGGACTGGTCTCTTAGCAATAAATTTCCTTTTTGCACAAAATATAGCTTCTGACACTTAACCCAGGCATGATTCAAGATGAATAATATTTTAAACACATAGCTCAAACTGGGTTGTTTTGGCTTTGAATTGCTCTAAATGCATGAATTCTCTACAATGAAAACCAATATCCTTTGAAATACATCATTCTGTAAAAATGCAGTCCCTTGAGTAGCGTAGCTACTCCAGAGTGGCTCAAAGTAGGCAGTGTGCTCACTAGAGTACCTGGAGTGTAGATGGTACTGAACATTTTTACAATACTATTTTCTTTAAAGGCACAAAGTGGGCTGAGACCTTTGTACAACTCATCGCCCAGAGAGATGCTGAGAACCAACATTAGCCTCTGTCTAACCTCAACATCACTATAATCCATTTGGTTACAGAGCAGGAACAAAGGCAAAATGGTTCAATTAAAGAAAACATTGGACAATGAAGCTGTGGAACACTAATGCAAACCAGACAGGAATCTGAAGAGCATGTATGTGTTCAATAATGGATTAAAATGTAAAACCAAACTATCCAGAGTAGAAGTTCTATCTAATTAGTAAAAAGTCTAAAGTCTTGGAAAACAAATGAAAGTAAAACTATGGTAGAAAACATATTTGTGTACATACATGGTTACTCTTTTTTTTTCACTGATATCTATAAAATCCTATTATACTTCTCACACCCAAACAATATAAGCATTTGTCTCCATCCCCTTTTTCATGAGTTCAGATACACATGCATCTGACTGAAAACTTCTTCAGATCCAAAACAAGAAAGGCATGTGCATTTATTTGTCTTTCTTCTATTTATAAACATTATATGTATTTACAAATACAGGGATTTTTAAAGTAAGAACTGCAGTTTTAAAATTAACAAAAATCAGCATGGATTAAAGCAAAAGCATAGAAACTTTTATAAAGGCACAGCTTCCAAAGCACTGACTGAAAGCGGAGTAAAGGGGATGGGCTCTGAGATGGGTGACAGTAAGAATGGACAGATCTGTAAAACAGAGCAGGGGCTGAAAATAACACGAGAAATCAAAACGGAAGATGAAGTTTTCTAATAATAACACACAGAAACCTTAAAAATGTTCTGCTAGTAACTTTACAGTGAAAAAGTTTTATGCAATCATAAAACCAAACTGTTTACTTATAACATTTAGAATCTAGCTAGACAAAAAAAGAATGGTAGCTATGGACACTGACGTAAACCCACTTAATAACTGCAATGTAAAAGAAAGAGGTGACAACTCTGGAAGCTCGAAAAAGAAAAGATCAAGAGTGAAGATTAATAACAAGGGAATCTATAATTGCTAATGGGAGAGCTACATATTGAACTGAGTGAACACGAACAGGATTTAAAACATGGTTTTTTAATCTCTTGAAATACTGGACTTAGTTTGACCAACAATTTAAACTGTTTAGCTTCTTTTCCTTAACCATTTAGATGCATTTAACTAGTACTAACAAGACAGCCCACATCAAAGCCCAGACTGAGAGGGATGTAGGAATATACTTTTTCACAATTTTGAAGGTTCTATTTTGACTGCTCAGCACTAATTACATCACTCCTAGACTACCCCAAACTCCTGCTCTGTTCACTTTTGTCACTTCATTTCTCTTTATAATATCAAGCCACGCTGTCTTCTGTGTCAACATCTACCCTTTCTTTAAAATCCTATCAACCCCTTGCCCATCCCCATCCCCTGCAGTGGAAATCCTGTAGTCTACCCCATAGTCCCATCTTTTCATGTGAGCAACTGACCTACTGCACTTCGCCTCATCCTCCAGGTTTAACATTCTTTCTCCACTTTGGGTTTGGAACACTCATCTCTCCTCAAGAACTTGGCTACGTGCTCACAAACTGAACACTTCAGCCTCACCTTAGTTCACACCGATTCACACCTTTTCACTTGGGGTTTAGCTTGCCAGTCAAATAAGCTTCTCCTGTGTTAAATGTGTAGTTTTCTGCTTCTATGAATGTGAAAATGCAGCATGTATGCATGAACATGCAGGAGCCACTGTGAGACTGGCTAGTTATGTACTGAGGTAACAGTTTTAATAGCTGGATGCAAATGCTGTTCAAGTTAAATACTACGGATATATTCCAATCTTAAAAAAATTCACTACTGTTATTTCAACACTTTGAACATATTAGCAGGGTATTTAGAATGAAATCACACTGACATTTTGTTTTATTAATCTTTATTAATATTTTTATTTACCTGTTTTAAAACAGGTTATTATTCATTGTAACTAAATCATTACCCTAATTAAGTACTATAAAACTCATATATAGTCTAACATTATTGGATGACTAGTATAGCAGCATTAGCTTATATCTACTTTACAAAAGAACAGTGTAATGTCCTGGTTAGAGTTTTTTCTTTTCTCTTCTTTCTTTCTTTTCTTTTTTGTCATCTGGGAAGAGTGAACTTCAATTTAAAAAGGTCTCCAGATTGGTCCACAGACAATACTTATTTGATTAAGGACTGAAGTTGGATGGCCCAGCCCACCATAGGCAGTGCCATTCCTGAGTACAACAGCTCTCGACCTGTGGGTCGTGACACCTTTGGGGTTCTAACGAGCCTTCCACAGGCATCATATCATCGAAGACCATCAGGGAATGCAGCGAGCCTTGATCCAAACGGGTCTAACGACCTGGGATGGATTTGTGAAGTCAGCGCAAGGAAGAAACTGTGACCACCTGTTTCAAACAAGTGGCCCCTAATAACCTGGACCATTTTTATTTATACAACTTCAATGGTTTGCATGAACAGTTTTAAAATCAAATTGATTTCCTTAAGTCTCTAAAAATGGTTACAATAATCACCAGTTTGTTCCTTTATTTCATTCTCCTTCTGTCCCCCAACATTCCTACAGGGAACCATTACCTATTTGATCCACAGCTCTAATGTCAGGAGCATAAGCAGTGTTGCAAGCGACAAAGAAGTTTTCTAACTAGGCACACCTACAGGTGGACCAGTGTACCCAGCTGGCAGCATCTGTTACAGCGTCATGGAGAGTGAAAGACAGTTTGCCTCTAGTGGTTAACATTTACATCTGGCAAGGTCTAAGTTCTCACAATCAACTCACCAGCCAAGGCTAGATCAATGCATTCTTCATTCTGCACTACTCTATCTCCTATGGGAATATACCAGGTTTTCTCTATCATCCTGCAAGCAACGTAACTTAGAAGCCTACTCTTAATAGTTGGCTCTGTTTATCCCTTGTTCTCGTGTCTCCTTCCTCTCAACTTCCTACATTATTGGCAAAGTTATTAGAAATAAGAGCACTGTGGGCTTCTATGATTCTGCTTTGTTTCCTGTTCCTAGACTGTTCCCATTAAACTCTTGATATCATCTATTTATTTGTATTTCTCCAAGACTCTTGTGGTTAAAACCATTCTCTCCAGAAGTTATGCAAATTTGTTAATATTATCATGAACTATTGTGACTCTTTCAGACTAGTCACAGGGTGCACTGGAAAGGCAGCATCCTGTTCTTAGGAAGCCTGAATTCATGGTCACACTGGAAACATCAAAGGCTTTAGTGAATGAATCAGATCCACTGTCTATCTTTAACAACTTCCCCTTTGGCTCAACCAGAGGAGAGTCATCAGGGGGAAGTTTTCCTTTTGGAACAGCTATTTTATCCATGACTGAGAAAGAGAAACTGAAGGCAACCAGCAATATGGCCAGCACAGTGAAAGCAAGGAGAGCAGGCAGCACATCCACTCCTGTGGTCATGCCTGAAATTACACAATGAACTGTTCACAGGCTTTGCCAAAATGGGTCAGGGTCTCCAGGGCCTTGTCACAAGGAGAGCTTATTCGTGCTATTCTTGGGCCTTGTTCCCTAAAGAAGTTGCATGGCTCCCACCAGGGAAACACAGGTATTTATTTTACAATTCAGAACAGGAAATTATAGTTATGAAGTAGCAACAAAAATAATTTTATGATTGGGATCACCACAACATGAGAAACTGTTAAAAGGTCACAGCATTAGGAAGGCTGAGAACCACTGCTTGATCAGGTGGTCCTGGTTCACATAGGAAAACCAGGCTTGGCAAACCACTTAGCAGCGTTCCTCAAAGGTTTCTGCTTCAATTCTTGCCCTGACTTCCCTTCATGATGGACTATAAACTGTAAGCTGAAATAAACCCTTTCTTCCCCAAGTTACTTTTGGCCATGGGGTTTTGTCACAGTCAAACTACAACACATAACATGTTTCTTTTTTTGCTTTATTAGAAGGCATACATTATTAGTTTTATCTGAAGCATGAATGAAATGTGGCTAAGAGACATTCAGTTACCTGCCTGTGGTTACACAGGGGATAAGCAATAATAAAAGCTCTGCTCTAATTATTAGGACTAAATTGTGTTAATAAATGTGTATTTCCATTTCTTACAATGGTATAATTCTTTGAAATGCATTAGGAATTATAGAAATACCATGATTAACCAGTTTCCAAGA